AAACGCACACATCTAAATATAAGCAACCAAAGATGATAAGGGAATAACAAACTAGACGGAAAGATGTGTGTACAACTCGAAAAGAATGGATCCATTAATATATGTTCAGAGGCTGGAACAAGCCCTATGGGCTTGACACGTCACAAGATTAGAATTAATTACCTCACTAAGCTGATTTCCTTCAATAGGTCATAACAGCTAATCCTGTTTTAATTTTATACATAACTGTATTGTCGGCTTGAAAAAAACAGTTCAAGTTCTATCTAAATGGTTTTATCTTTATTGAAAAAAATAGTTGACTAGAATTATGTTTAATTCTAATAACTATATAGACAGACATATTACTGATAAAATATCTATGGATGATTTAGTATACAAGAGTTGAACAAGAATGTTTTAACCATCTAATTTATATCAAAGTCACACTAGATGATAAATACCCACCCTGTGTTATTTTGTTTTAGTGCCTAGATAATGTTGCTTCTTTGGTGAACGTGTACGAATGGGAAATTTTCTTTGCTGAATAGAATATTACCAAAAAAAATGAACTATATGGACAGGAAAATAATGGTGTAGGCTAGTTCCATAGCCTACATTGATTGATCAGTTCGTGTCAGTTGTCCTTAACATTTTCGATGTTCAGGAAACAGTTCAAAATCTACTAATCACTCCTCTTACATAAAAATCGTTTAGACTGATGGTTAATCTGGAGAGGACGAAAGTCCTTTCACTTATCTGATTAGATTTTTCATACATCACACTTCGATGGTTTACCCCCATTAAACGAAGATAACAGAGAAGAGTGTGGTACTGTAAAAGTGTCAAATCTGATTTTTGTTTGATCGAAGTTAATGTATCTAATGTATCTTTCACTGAATGATATTAAAAATAACTTGTTATTATATAAACGAAAATTTATTTTTATTAGTGTAGTATTCAAAAAAGGATATAAGGAATCGTAAAATAAGTAACAATTCAAAACATGGAAAATTTATATGAACACTGATTAGAAAATTTTCAACTATTTGTTCAACTCGAATTTGGTTTTGGTCCTTCATACCCTGTGTTTATTATTTCCTTGAGTTCACATTATGTTTAACTATTCGTTTCAGTTAAGATATACACTTCTTACGGTATATTACATCTATTATTCAAATAATAAGATTGAATTTTTAAACTGTAGTGTAAACAAATCACTAGTATATAAAACGCTATTCTGCTGACCCAGTAAAGGACATGCAAGGTAACAATCTTAGTAGCTTTTATAGCCATTCATCTATCGTTTGACCCAGAGAGGGCATGTGATCACAAGCACGTGACATATACTCACCTGATTTATCAGTACATATTATTAAATAGTCATGCGCTTGGATAATATACTTCTTCCTTGTCCTCTGATTTTTTACTGATTTCATAATCGATATGCATAAGTTGTGAAAGTCAACTGGAACTTGGATGAATGTATTATATAATACATTAAGTTGTGTGGCTGATAAGTTTTCAATCAGCTATTGAAATAAACTAAACTAAAAGCGGTAATCAATCGATTTAAAGCAGTCCAACAATAGATCATCCCCCCCCCAAAAAATGGTTTTAAAATTGTTAAGTACTTAGGGACGAATTTGTCACAACAAGTATTTCACTTGAGTTCTGTAACTTAATTTTAAAAATTTGTATTAATTATTTACTTACGCTGACCTGGCTCTTCTATCTCACACGCAACAACAAATGCATGAGATGACGACCAGTGTAGCAGCAGCCTCTGCAGCAGTACGTCTCAACATACATAAAGGAAAAAGCAAAATTCTCCGATGCAACACAACATGCACCAAACAAATCACTCTTGATGGAGATTCCTTGGAGGACATTAAAACCTTTACATATCTTGGCAGCATCATCGACGAGAAAGGTGGATCGGATGCAGATGTGAGGGCACGGATTGGCAAAGCAAGGGCTGCATTTCTACAGTTGAAAAATATCTGGAACTCCAAACAACTTTCAAACAAAACCAAAATAAGGATTTTCAATACAAATGTCAAGACAGTTCTAATGTATGGAGCAGAAACATGGAGAACTACGAAAGCCATCATCCAGAAGATACAAGTATTTATTAACAGTTGTCTACGCAAAATACTTCGGATTCGTTGGCCAGACACCATCAGCAACAACGAACTGTGGGAGAGAACAAGTCAGATTCCAGTGGAGGAGGAAATCAGGAAGAAGCGTTGGAAGTGGATAGGACACACGTTGCGGAAAGCACCTAACTGCGTCACGAGACAAGCCCTCACATGGAACCCTGAAGGCAAAAGGAAAAGAGGAAGGCCAAGGAACACACTACGCCGAGAAATAGAGAAAGATATGAGAGGAATGAACAAACATTGGATAGAACTGGAGAAGGAAGCCCAGGAGAGAGTTGGTTGGAGGAAACTGGTGGGCGGCCTATGCTCCATTGGGGGGTAACAGACGTAAGTAAGTAAGTATTTACTTACGCCTATTACTCCCAATAGAGCATAGGCCACCGACCAGCATCGTTCAAATGAATCTGTAGTGGGTCTTCCTTTCGGTTCTAACAAACTGCTATTCATTTTTTTTCATTTCTGCTTCCAATTCTAGGCGCTGTATGTTTCTTGATCTACCTCTTTTCCTTTGATCTTGAGGGTTCCAAGTTATGGATTGCCTTGTGGTTTATTTAAGTATTTTCCTTTATGTGTCCTATACACCTCCAGCGCCTTTTGTTAATTTCCGCCCCCTCTGAAATCTGGTTTTTTCTATCCCACAGTAGGTTGTTGCTCATGGTGTTTGGCTAACAGCTTCTCAGTATATTGTGTAGGCAATTGTTAATGAACACCTGTATCTATCTGTTGCGGTTCTCCGTACAAAAGATCTGTCTTATGGTTTGTGTTGAAAAATAACTAGTTTTTATCATACAAGTAACCATATTTAACTATTATCTATTTCTAGACTATTTAATATTTAAGAAAAAACATTGTAAGCTGTGAGTTTGTTTCTTTTAATTCAAATAATCATTACTAACACGAATTGTTTTAAAAATAACTTATGTATATACGAGATTAGTATGATCAGTCAATCTATCATTGTTAAGCATTCAAAATAGGACAAAGTATAAGTCATGTATTTTATTGTGATTTTGACAATTCAAGTTTTTTATTTTGTCAGTAAATTATAACAATAATCAAATGTACTCACATAAACAAAGCAATACATACTGTTAAATCGTTAAATGAGTGTATTATTTCAGTCGAATATTTATCAATAGTCTATTGATTTGTGAGTAAATTTGTTAAGCAGAGTTAACATTAGTTGCACTCAACTAATACTTATTATTATTGTTATTTTTTATTTCAGCACATAAACACTGGTACAGATGAGGAAGCTAAATATTTATGCACCACAAAACTTATTGAGTTTGCGAGTAGGTTAGGATATTGTGTGGACTCGCAAACTTGAACCAGATGGTTTCTTTAGGGGCCACTACGTGAGTCTTTGACCGAGTGGTCTAATCCACAAAGCTGTGGATCAGCATAAGGGCATGCAGTGCTGTGGTAACCAGTGACCAATAGATTTATAAGCCATTTGTTATCCCACAATTGTGTAGCTCATGTGTACCACTGGTTTGGAATCGGGGTTTTCCAAACCCCATTAAGTGAATCATCCGTACCTCTCAACCTGGTTAAAGCGCCAGATAATCACGTTTCGTACTCTGAATTTCATGAACAAAATATCTGTCCCAAGAAGGCAGTGAGTAGGACCATCTTGACTATGGCTATACACAGGTGGTAATGGGAGAAAATGTGGAGCGAGAGCGGACTATCCCCACTCCGCCTGGAGCACCTCTGGGGCTACTATCAATCCTGACTGCGGATAAAGGAGGGCAACGGATTGGCGACCCCATCCCGTAGAAGATTAACTCGCCAAAAATCGCTAACTAGAAAAGATAAGCTATTTAGGGGCAACTCTTACTTATGATTACGTTAAATATCAAATATGCCAAATAAAATTATTGTACTAATTATTTGTAGATTTATTTTCAATTTTACTTCATATTTACAAACTAATTACAATCATAGATTATTTTATATGTGAGAAATAATCTTAACAACTGATACAGAATACGTAACCTAGTATGAGAAAATATAATTATCC